AGTCACACACACACACACACCTGTCAATCATCTGATGACAAACACACACACACACACACACACACCTGTCAATCATCTGATGACAAACACACACAAACACACAAACACACACACACACACACACGGAGGGGCTTCACACTGACAGCTACTGAGACCAGAGTCAAACACAAACCAACCACTGCATGTTTACAATGAAATACACGTACAGATCAAGATGGATTTGACAATCCAAACATCCACAAACTTTGTCCCTTAAGTAACACTCACACACACACACTCTGGCTGGATCCGGTATTGAGGGTTACAAACGCAGAACAGTGGAGCCTCAGCCAAGGCCAGATAAACCACTAACCCTATATCGGCACCACACACACACACACACAAATACATTAATACACAAGGAGGAATGTGTTGAGAGACATGAGAAAACCATCGTCAGACCTTGTACTTGAGTCTTATCATGGACAGAAAGTCACACAGATGCTGCTGCGCCCTTGATGAACACACACACACACACTCCCATCAGAACAGCTGATTGATGAAAGAGTAAATGAATCAGCAGCATCATCTCTGTTCAGACGGTGTGTGTATTAAAGCACAGTAAATCTGCATGAAACGCTGAAGTGCAGGCACTTGCAGCAAATGTAGCACTGCCAGTTGTTGTTGGAGATTCTTAGTCCTCCTTTCCGTTCTTTCAGTCGCTTTACGTATACGTCGACTTTCCATGTCCATTATTGTGAAACCCACGAGACACAACAAACACACAGCTCCGATCACAGCGTCCTCCATCCTCCTGTTGTTAATGTTGTTCTTCTTTGTTTCTGTTGTTGAACGCCGCGCACAAATGACGTCGCTGTCGACCGGCTTACATCACTTCTTAGTACACACTCTCGGTGCGAATGCAACCCTTTAAATGCTACTGGGAAATAGTTACCACAATATCATCCCAGTACTTTAGTACTGTACGTTTAGTTCTGGATCTAAAGCGGTGCAAAGGCCCTATTAGCAGCAGCATCACTATTATTAGCACCAAAAATACTGCAACCTAAATGCTCACAAATGGATCGTCATCTTTGAACTTTAAACTATGAGGATGGAGAATTTTCTTCTAAACATGTATTTGTTGTTCATGTTATCAAACACCATCAGTCTCTACAGCAAACTGTCAATGTATTGTCGGTTATCTGAATATAGATTTTTTTTCACACAGACTTTTTGACACTGATTTCATGCCTTATACAATGAACATCATAAACGGTAAAAAATTAAAAAAAACTGCAAATGTAAACAACTTTACAGCTCAAATAAGAAAAAGTTTGACAATAACAAAAAAAAAAAGTTTCATAAAGCGCCGTTGTGTTAAAGGCGTCCCGAGTTCGAATCCCAGCTCGAGGACCTTTCCTGATCCCGCCCCCATCTCTCTCCCGCTTCACTTCCTGTCTACTCTACACTTTCCTATCAATCAAGGCAAGAAATGCCAAAAATAAATCTTATATATATATAAACCGCATTCATTTCAGCCTAATGAGTTTGCAGTCATATTAAGATTAAAGCCAGATCTTTTCTTCCATGCTGTAACAATTACTGAAAAGAAAAACTGTAGGGCGGGACTTGGGTCTATGCTTTAGTAGCTGATTGGATGTTGAGATGTGGGCGTGGCTCACAACTGAAGCCTGCTCTGAATGGGAGTCTGCTGTGGATCGCATACAAAAAATCAGGTCACAAAATGGTTAAACAAAGAAACATGCATGGATGAATGGCTCATATACAACATGCATGTAGAAAACAGAATGCTGGTACAGATGAAGCAATTAAGCTGAAAACTGTGAATAAGAGTAAAAAACTCATCAACTGATCTGATGAACACAGGTGAAAAGATCTACTAAGCACCTGTTCATTCACCCTATGCATACTAGCAGTCTCTAGTATGCATGTCCAGTCATTCAGTTCAGATCTGACAGCTGCATCACATTCATCAGAAAGTACCTATGCTAACAGCAGGCTTTGTTTTTGGACATTTGGTATTCTAGTATAGTACATACTATAGTCTGCATCAAATAACTGCTGAACACAGACAGACACAAGTGCACTAAACACACACGTCAGTGTGACATTATCAGCAGCTAACACATGAGTTTCCAAACATTCGCTGTGGCACTCAG